CATCCTTTTTAATGTTATTATTATTATCCTCTAATAATTCTTTTGTTAGTGTTCACAATCTTTCAATTATTTTCCTTCAGCCAAATCTTCCAAACTACAAATAAAGGAAGTACTGAACAAGCTGCAGAGTACAAGACAACTGTTGGAATATCAAAGTCAGAATCGTCTTCTCACACAATCACTCACTCCGTATCGTTTGAGATATCGTCCTCTTTTAAAGCTGTTGATTTTTCTGCTTCTACTTCACTCGAAAACTCTTGGGAGGTAAGTATAAATGCCTGTAGCCATGAAAATGTGGGGTTACCCCAGAGTCTACTACTGGAGCTTACTGCAAGCTGCTCGATAACGAGTAGTTTACCGGTTAAGGGTTAAGGGTTTGGGGGAAAAGGTAATCAAATTGGAGGAGTTTCTGAGCCAAATTCAAAAAATAAAGCTTTTTCTTATATAATTTCTCAAAAATTTCGACATTTCTAATCTAAAAAGGATAGGTCTAGCCGCTCACCACATTGTAGTATACTTTTAGTGGGATGCAAAAACTTTGACCCTTTTGTACATACATACAAGTACAGTATCAAAAGTATATCAGAAATTATGTGATATCATTCCTAATATTTTTTTTCCAGTTGTCTATTACGAGGGCTCTCTGAAATAGAATAAGTCTCCCTGCTCACCACATTGTAATATATTTTATAGCTTTTCTTCTTCTTTTGTAGAACACGAAATCTTCGACTTTTGAAACAGCTAAGGAGGTTACCCATTCCTTAAAAATCCCCCCCAAAACAAAGATCACTTTGTACCAGCTGATTGGGAACTACGCTGGGAAATTTAATATAGGAGCTGATAACTATGCCATCGAAGAAGAAAAATTAGAAGGTGCAAAGCGTAAGCGATACTACAAGATGCGCTTCGACGGGGAGCCATTACAAGGCGCCATGCGTAAGCAATACTTCAAGAAGCGCTTTAAAGAATATTTCCAAAGAAAATAAGACGTCGGCGTTGCGTCATCTGATCTTGATTTTTTCAGCACTGGTAATCTTGCACATTATCCTTGTAATTTTTGAAAGCGTAGGCCATTTTTTTGTGTAACTGTGAAAAAGTACAGCATAGTGCTGTGGTGTCAAGACTGTGATGGTACTGTGTATCAGCATTCTGATTGGACGAGCAGTCATCTGGTTGGTGTGTAAAATGTTCTCATTTCCATGACAGTACATGCAGTGATTTTTTCACAGTCATACGAAATCTGTTTTAGTGTAGTAGTAAATTATAAAGGGCTATAGAGTGATTTTACTTGGCCCGTGAAACGATCGAAGTTGTAGTAGTCACTGACAGTCCAAGTAAAACGAAAGAAAACAATGCCTTGGAATTTGTGTCTACTTCTATTACGCGTTGACTATAGTCCCTTTCACAGTTCCCTGCGCCATCTTGAAAGGTAGCCGAGCCT